GGGGCTCCTGGCCTTACTACTAGGAGCAAGAAGCTACTAGGGGCTCCCAAACCCCAGGGTTTCAGGTCCGATTGCGGGAAGAAGGGTGAATGCCACGAGCCGGCGCCTGCAACATCCGAATCAGATCATCCCACACCATTGTACGTATAGATTAAAAAAAGATGTCCCTTTAACGCTTTTTACTATGACTCAATACATGGCCATCGCTACTAGGGTGGAGGCCATTGCTAGTAGGTTGGAGTAGGTAACAGTTCGGATAGTTGGACCCTCCTGAGTTCGGCTCAGTTCGGCTCCGCCCAGGCGTTGCGTCTGCTTTGGCACTGTGGGAACTCCACGCAGGGCCGAGTGGAAGCCATCCAGGCGAGTGGCGAGACATGGCAAGACATGGCGAGACATCGTGTTGGTGCCAAAGGCGTATTTATTGAAACATGATGTGGTGTCCTGGTTGGGAAGAGGTGTCCTTCCTTTAGCAGGTGCATGCCAATGGTGGTGTGATTTTCTTGGGTAGATGGGTCGACCATAAGCTCCACGGGTGATTGGATGAGCTTCGGGTCGTTCATTCTTTCGTGAAGAACGACACTGTCTTGGTCTTGAAATGCAAACTGCTTTGCGTCATCACATCCAAACTGAACTTGGCTATGGCCTGGAAGCGAGTGGGATCAACTCTTTTTTTGCATCGCAACTGGACACTGCTAGGCACAGTAGTTGGAAAGATTTGTTGAGACACAGAGAATGGGAAGCCATTCAAATAATCCATGTGACTTTGAGTTCTGTCAATCAGAGGTCGAATGGCTTCCCGGATGAGCCAGGAATTTCGTGAATGCGAACGGTTCATGTGATGGTCATCCGAAGAAAATGCGAAACCGTGTTCATTGGGCCGACGATGGAGCGAGTCGGGGAGCAGCCATGATGTGGCGTTTTTGTTGGGGACCGATGAGGACGTGTCACATCACGCGGCGTGGTGGCGTACCTCCCCTCGCGAGCGTGGTTGGCTCGAAGCGAGCGTGTTTTTTTTCACGATGCCCTCTGTTTTTGAGGTGAGAAAGTCCTCAGTCCCATCTCATGCCAAGGCCAATGGAGCTGCATGTGCCGGGAGCCCGAACATCACGGTCGATCTGGTCCTGTCGGCCAGTGTCATCTCTTTGTAAAAAGAGCAGGGACGCAACTAATTTACTCGTTCTTCGAGTGCCTGGAGTCTATTTCAGACTGCAAAAAATGAAGGCCTGCGATCTACAACATGTTCACACTCCATCTTTGATGCGTTCGGCACCGTTGCGTTGCATCGGACCTGCGTTGAAGGCCTCTCTCCGAAACCCCCCGGACCGCCTGCGCCGCTGAAACCGACCGCGGCGCTGAGATCACCCAATTCTTGTCCCACCACGACGCCAAAGTGCGAGAAGCCGTCGGGGCGCTCATCGGGTGTTTCGGAAGAGTCCAGTATAGAGTCGATTCTATCTATCTCGGGAAACCCTGAGCTCGAGGCAGACAGAAAACGGCGAAAACCAGAAAAAACCGACACCACGAAGTTCCCCAACAGCTCATTGTGGTGTGTGAGAGTTTCTGTCATTCCTTCGCGCAGGAGGGACCTCGGTCCAACGGAACGACGACCGGTCGGAATGGGCTCCATCGGACGTCCAACGGCCGCTCCGTCAGGCGGTGTGCGCCTTGAATGTGATCTCTCTGGAGACGCGAGGCCGAACCACGCAGCGAACGAGCATATGAGAGGTTCGGCAAAGAGGCAAAGAACCATTGGCTATTAGCTTCGCTTCAGGTTCTTTTAGTGGCTATTTCCGGGACTCTGGCCACCCTAGGACCTGACATGACCACAAACGTATGAATTGTCGACTGGGTTCATCTTGGGAGGACGTGGGGGTGCGGCCACTGTCAGCAGCTAATGCAACCCCGCAAGCAAAGTATTTTGGATCGGTGTTTGATTGTTTCGTGGATGTGCGGGGGTATGACACGGGCAGGTACAGGAGGTTTTTTCATCCATGCCAAAGAGCACATAAGATGGGTATGACGTTGACTGTCATAGCCTTCATCCATGAATAGCTTGGCCTAGAGATGCACAGGGAGGAAGGACCTCGGTGTGTTTCAGATCTTCGGAAGCGTTGTCTTGGCCCATGGCTCTCATGCGTCTTCCGCTCTCGGTGCATCGGAGTTCGAAGGGAACCCGAACCCAAACACGCTACGTTTCGACCGGGCTTGGCGGCCGCCAAATTGGGTGTGAAAGCGGTGAACCCCCACGGTTCGCCCGTCGAACCGAAGCACATTTGCTGACCCAAACGAAGGTGATGTTCCTAGTAGCGTCCTTGTTACTGGTGGCTGGTAGCGATGTCCTTGTTACTA